TGGGTTTTTGTTAAATGTGAGCCAAACTCATCACAATTAAAAGAACCAAAGACTTAAACTACTTCAGTCTGTGTGCATTGAATTTATTTAATACACGAGTTGAACAATTTGAGTTGAATTACTGAAATAAATGAACTTTTTCCGACATTTTAATTTATTGAGATGCACCTGTAACTGTGATGTTCTGCAAAACAACACCTTTTTCTTACTGGTGAAAATCAGATGGTCAGTGAACATTACTACATCACTCTCGTCAATGTAGTACATATTGTTACGATACCTGGCATTGTTATTTGTGTGGGTGTTGTTTTCTGTTAGGGAGTTAGGGAAGTTGAATTGTATTTTTTTTTCTTTATAATTATAATTTCTTATTTTATTAGTGGTTTTGTTTATTATTTTGGCCATGGGCCTCTCCGAAGCTAAAGCTCCTTTCATTAATTTCATTCTTATTTAATAAATTATTTAAAACTGTTATTTGTCTTTGGTGATCTGTTGGCTGTGGTCGGAATCCCGTTACATCACTCTTTCGTCTCGTACCCTAGTAAAAATGGGTCGTAACAATATCGACAACAAAAATATATCTTGACTCCATATAGTGGTTATTTTGGGAAAAACCCAAGTATTTTGAGCAGTAGGATTATAAAAAATATGTGCTAATATAAAATTAAATTAAGTAGTCTATATAAAATCTATCAGTACATTAAAAAATCGAGTACTTTTGTACTTTCATTTGAGTAAAATTGAAAAAGGAGTACTTTTACTGGAGTAATATTTTATTATACGTATCTGTACTTTTACTCAAGTTCTTGATTTGTGTGCTTCGTCCACCACTGATAATTCCAGATTACAGTCCAAACATGGCTAGGCTTTCACCCATGCATTCATGTATAGATTAATTAGGTAGGTGTGCACACATTGATGTTACAAACAGCACTCAATAAGTTTATACAGTTCTATGAGTTATATATGGAGTCGATTTGTGTCCGTGAAAGTGTACATGTGAAGGTCTATTTTTTTCTATACTATATTAAGGGTTGAAAGGTTCCAAAGGCTTTTCAAATCTCTATTCGTGTTTCAAAGATGAATGCAAGTCTTAAGAGTTTGAAATTACATAAGGGTAAGAGTGAGTAAATGACCATTTTCATTTAGAGTGAACTATCCTTTTAAGTGTATTTGAACTGATATGCGTGTATATCTCTCTCTTTTGATACAGTAAAAAGGCAGAATCCAGAATTTCAGTGGACAGGAATGAGTTTGTGTGTCCAGTGTGTCTGGATCTCCTGAAGGATCCAGTGACGATCCACTGTGGACACAGTTACTGTATGAGCTGCATTACAGACTGCTGGGATCAGGAGGATCAGAAGAGAGTCTACAGCTGCCCTCAGTGCAGACAGACCTTCAGTCCAAGACCTGCTTTAGCTAAAAACACCATGCTGGCTGAAGTGGTGGAGAAACTGAAGAAGACCAAACTTCCTGCTGACTGTTACGCTGGAGCTGGAGATGTGCAGTGTGACGTCTGTACTGGAAGAAAATACAAAGCCGTCAAGTCCTGTCTGGTGTGTCTGAACTCTTACTGTCAGAATCACCTCGAACAACATGAGAGTTTCTTTAAAGGAAAGAAACACAATTTGACTGAAGCCACTGGACGACTGCAGGAGATGATCTGCTGTGAACATGATAAACATCTGGAAATGTACTGTATCACTGATCAATGTTGCATTTGTGTGCTGTGTATGAAATATGAACATAAAAACCACAACACTGTGTCAGCTGCAGCACAGAGAACAGAAATACAGGTATGAGCTTAAAACTAGACTTAAACTAGATTAAATAATGCTTATTTGTGCTTCACGTAGTGCATTGAACTTTACAGAAAATATGGTGGAAAAGTATTGTAAACTTATTTATCGAGACGAGACAATCATTGGTAAAATATGTTTTGTTAAAGCAGAATTTAATGGAGAGTTCATCCATTGTTTAAAAAAATCAAGGCATGAAGCAAATTAATCATGCAATGACAGAAACATTTTCTATTTGGTAAATCTGGCTGAATCTAGATGATTATAACATTAGTTTATTTTTTTTGTATCGAACTGCAGCTCCATTACACAGCAGAAACACTGAGTGTGAAAGCTCTGTCTGTGATAGTTTCACTTTTATGATACTTATACCTGTGACATGAAACAGGCCTTATGCTTCATGTTAATTCATGTATGATGGTGGTAACTGATCAGTCCCTCTATATTCCTAAACCACTCTACCCCACTTTTATTGGATTCATATGAAAATGCAACAATTACTGTTATTCATTTGTACTTCAGAAACGGCTTAAGGAGACGCAGAAGCTGTTCCAGCAGAGAATCCAGCAGAGAGAGAAAGATCTTGAGCAGCTGAGAGAGGCTGTGGAGTCTCACAAGGTGAGTCTGGAGAGGAAGAGAAGTTTGACTCCGTCTCAGTCTGGACTCTCATCTTTCAGACTCACTGAAGCTCACTGTGTGATTGTGATGTGTGTCTTAACAGCGCTCTGCACAGACAGAAGTGGAGGAGAGTGAGAAGATCTTTACTGAGCTCATCCGCTCCATTGAGAGAAGCCGCTCTGAGCTGATACGGCTGATCAGAGATCAGGAAAAGGCTGCAGTGAGTCGAGATGAAGGACGACTAGAGCGACTGGAGCAGGAGATCAATGATCTGAGGAGGAGAGACGCTGAGCTGGAGCAGCTTTCACACACACAGGATCACATCCAGTTCCTGCAGGTAACACAGATCTAGAAGAACGGGATCATAGTGGACTTGAGCCAGATTCTGGTGTGACTATTGTTTGGTATCGTTTGATTTTTATCGATACCGATTATTCTTTTTAATGCCTTTTATTTTATTTGAACAAATTTTTGTTGAATAATGTTCACCAAAATCAAGTTAAATCTTAAAATCTGTTCAAGTTCACAATTTGCCTGTAAAACATTGAGGAATTTGAGTGTGAAGTCCCAAAACAGGAAGTGATGCTGTATATTAGCAATGCTTCAGCTTGTTCAAACCAAGCAAAACCTTACCTTGAAACTGTGTCACTAACCTCTCAAAAATCATAAATGGCTTTGAACAGCTTTTCCTTAGCAAATCCATTCAAACCTACCACTGATCTGTTGACTTGTGAAATTAACATTTAGGTTAAGTCATCCAAACTATTTACTACAAAGTTCTCATATAGCATAGCAGAACATTTTTGCTTTCATGTGATAAAACGAATATGAGAAAATTGTAGCTGATGCTGTGAAAGAGCTGGATTGAGGTGAGCTACTAAAGATAAGTCAACAAGAACTGCACAAATGTGATATTAGTACAGGTTATTGGGTGAAGTATGGGGCTGATGAGTTCCCTTTCAAAATGGTTTACTCACATTGCATGAACTTAATGCTACGGGGAGACACAGGTTCTCCGAAATACTGAAGCCTGATTTGATAACGTTCGTGTAGGTGCACAAACAAATGGCATTGCAGCTTGCCAAAACAGGCGAGGCTGTCTGCCTATACAAGTCTGCGTTGAATGCCATTCATCAGAATCTTTTTCCTTCAGCACGAAGATCATCTCCTTGCTGGCTTCCAAAGAAAGAAAATGAGGAAGGCTACTACTTGCCATAGAAAAGCCCCGGTAGCGGAGAGATGCTTCACTCAAGCAGCGCATCTTGCAGTTTCCACTCTATTAGAGCAAATTTTTAGTGCTGTTTGTTACAAAATGTCACGCCACAAGTGTGGCACATGCAGGGCTCCCCTGCATGCCCTGGACGAGCACAGTGAGTGTGTCACTTGCCTGGGCTGCACCCACGCTGAAGCAGTGCAAGACGGACTGCTCTCATTGTGAGAGCATGGGTCTCACCTCGCTACGCTTGTGGATTGGTTTCTTTCACAGAAGCGGCCCCACCCCTCACACTCACTTGTTTTGTTCCTCCCAGGAGGATTCCCCAGTGCTATTACCTGATGAGGATCTACACCCCTTGTCAGAAGAGATCAGTCTGGTCTCTTTTGCTGTATCTGAGGAGGATGCTGCTGAGGATGTCATTGGCAGCTTTTGATGCTGAGGATTGGTCATGCTCCGTGGAAGCCTACACTGCAAAAAAATGCTTATCTTAGTCTTGTTTCTAGTCAAAATATCAAAAGATTCTCAAATCAAGATGCACTTACTAGATAAGCAAAATGAAGTAAGATATTTAGTCTTGTTTCCTGGATGGAAAAAAATAACTAAATTAAGTGCATTTTGCTTAATACAAGTACAAATATCTAAAAACAAGATGAAAATGCTAAGTAAAATAAGCCTTTTTGCTATGTGCATTTATGGGCCCACAATGGCAGCCTCCCGTAAGGATCATTAACATTATTTCAGAGGCCAAATCACCATCCACTAGACGCCTTTATGCCCTCAAGTGGTCCATATTCCCTTAGACTTGTGACATATTGTCCTTTATACAGGAGCCGCTGGATAAGGGGCGCACTCCTTCCATGCTCAAAGTATACATGGTGGCCATCATAGCAAACATGCTTTCGTGGCCATCCAGTCAGTAGGAAAGAATGAGTTAGGCATGAAGTTCTTGTAGGGGGCCAGGAGACTGAATCCGCCTTGCCCTCATACTATTCCCACCTGGAATCTATCCACAGTCCTCAGGGCCAATTGAGGCCCTCCATTTGAGCCACTACAATAAGAAAATTGGGACCCCTTTCACTTAAGACTGCCCTCCTGCTGGCTTTAATGTCAGTCAAGTGAGTTGGCGATTTGTAAGCATTTTCGGTGAGTGATTTCTACCTTGAGTATGGGCCTAAGGAATGCACAGTGGTCCTCAGCCAAGGAATGGCTACGTGCCTAAAGTGCTTTCCACTCCGTTCACAGGTTATTACCCTCTCAGCTCTTCCTGCTTCGGAAGATGAGCAGCATGTGCACTTACTCTGTGGAGTGCTTTGTGTGCTTCAGGGGCCGCTCTAAAGGGCTGCAGGTTAATTATCTACTATCCAGTGGGATAATCTTTGCATCTTAACCGGCAATAAGATGCAAAGTTACCCCACTGGCTAGTAGATGCCATAGTGCTGGCTTATGCCTCAGTGGGCTTAAGAGCCTATTGCACCAGGGGTATGGCCTCCCCCAGGGCCTAGTTCAGTGGAGTTTCCATTAGTGATATCTGTGCAGCAGCTGACTGGTCTTCGCTGCCTACCTTTTCTAGGTTTTATAACCTGAATGTCCCTGCCCTTCCGGAACAGATTTTATCTGCTTAAACTATCTCTGCCCCTGCTGGTGGTCAGGCCTGTTAGGGCCATTTTTGCCCTGAGGACTCCGGTCTCATGGCCTAGGTCTGACTGATTCCAGGTTCATTTTGCCCTTATATTAGCCCACACAAGCAGTAGGGCCCTCACCTTGAACACCCTAGGGCTTGGCTCGCAGGATGACTTTTTGTTCTTCAGTTGTAGTACGGCGCTATAGAATTTTGTTCCCCATAGCAACTAAGATAACGCAATGTGAATGAACCGTATCAAAAGTGAATTACTAACATAACCTCGGTACCCTGAGATAACGGGAATGAGCACTGCATAGTCCATGCTGTCACTTACGTATATATATGCAGATGTCCCCACATTTATCAAATCAGGCTTCAGTATTTCAGAGAAACTGAGTTTCCCAATAGTGTTAAGTTTAGCCAATTTTTGTTCTGGTTGTCACAGGGAACCAAGGTTACATTAATTACCGGAGCATTTTATTTCTGTTTTCTGTAGAGTTTCCAGTCTCTCTCGGCACCTCCTGAATCTACAGACAGTGGAAATGGAAATGACAATCCTTCCAGTTCTCTCTTCTCTTTTGATGGCCTGAGAGAATCTGTCCGTCAGCTGAGAGACAAACTGGAGGATTTCTGCAAAGAGGAGATCAAAAAGGTCTCTGACAGAGGTAAAGTCCTGGAGATTAATCTGCTCTCAGAAATGAGTTCACCATCATTCATATCATGTAAGAAATGTCTTAGGAATGGATGCAGGATCATTTTCTCTTGACATGAGAATCACACTGTTCATGTCTGTTGATTTCCACAGTCACATTCACCAACATTGTTCCGAAGACCAGCAACGACTTCCTACAATGTAAGTCACTAAGAAAACAAGCAGAAAAACTCACTGAGTGTGTTCATGTTCTTCCTGTAAAAGTGAATGAAGATTTTCATAATTGATGATATTAAAGGGTTAGTTCACCCAAAACTCAAAATTAGCCCATGAAGTACTCCCCTCAAGGCATCCTAGGTGTATATGACTTTCTTCTTTCAGACAAATCCAATCGGAGTAATATAAAAAATTGTATTTGATCTTCCAAGCTGTTTAATGGCAGTCAGCGGGTGTTGCAGTGCATCAGTCCAGAAGAAGTGAAATAAAGTGCATCCATCCATAATAAAAAAAGTGTCTCACACGGCTCCGGGGGGTGAATAAAGGCCTTCTGTAGCGAATCGATGCATTTTTGTAAGAAAAATATCCATATTCAAAATGTAATAATCACTTGAATCTAGCTTGCGCCAACAGTCCTACACTGGAAGCAGTTCTGGGCGGATGACGTATGAGGTCAGCCTTGCGCATGCGCCGCTCAGAAGTGACGAATGCGGAAGCGCAGAGGAGAGATCAAAACAAAACAACGGTCACGAAT